ATATACTAAACCTTAAAACTATATTTTTTTATATATATATATATATATATATATATATATGAAAAAATATTTATCCTATAAATATTTAAACCTTAAAATATATTTTATATATATATATATATATATATATATATATATAAAAAATATAGTTTTAAGGTTTAGTATATTTATGGGATAAAGTGCTCAATATCAGAGCTAGTTCAAAACTACATTATTTAGGTCGAAATTATAGTCAACCAGTTCTAACTTCATTTCATGCTGAATCAGTCAAATTTCTCTTTATCGTTAAACGCTCGATTGAAAGAAAAACCCTTTTCGGCAGATAATTTTTTCAAAAAGTTTTCAAAGGTTCTAATTCCTTCCATATAATCAATACTCTTTCATTAATTATCCAATTTCAAAATTTCAGATCTTCCATGGCGTGCCTCTTCTTTCACAAGACCGGCACATTTCAAACATCAAGTCTACGCTTTCCATGCATCAATAATAGCAACGTTCATTCCTCAATATTAACAAAATTTGTTATTTTATAATTATTAATAATGTTTTTATTACATTTAAAGAGATAATTGGCTGTATGCACACCAATTTGTGTGTGTGTGTGTGTGCACACGAACACAGGTGAGTTTGAATATCAAGAAAGAGAGAGAAAAAAAAACTAAATGCATATATACCTTAAGAATCTTTTTCTTTTAGAATTTCAACGCTTGGCATGAGAATTGAACACTTGTGCTTTTCGTACTTGGGAAATAATTGCCGCGTTTCAATTGTTTGCATAAATCAATATTTAAAAATAATTGAAGTTTCTTTCTATTTTTCTTTCTTTTCATTATAATAATCATTCTATCGAAAGGTTTTGATAATTCATGCTAACCTTCATAAGCTATATGAAGATTGTATCGCTTGTATCATTTTTTCTGTCTTTCTTTTGATTATAACAATTCTGTCCAAAAGTCTTTAGCAATTCAAGCTAACCATCATAGATCTTTTGTATCACTTGAATGTATTTCTTTCTTCCTTCTTTTCTTTCTTTCTTTTTTCTTTCTTACTTCATTTCTTTCTTTCTTATTTCCTTTCTATCTTTCTTTTCATTATAATAATCATTTTGTTCAAAAGTCTTTGGTAATTTATGCTAACCTTCATATGTCTGTTGTGTCACTTGAATATGTTTCTTTCTTTCTTTCTTTCTTTTTTTCTAACCTTCCTTTCTTCCTTTCTTTTCATTATAACAATCATTCTATCCAAAAGTCTTTGGTAATTCATGCTAATGTTCATATGTTAATGTCTTCTGTATCACTTGAATATCTTTCTTTCTTTCTTTCTTTCTTTCTTTCTTTCTTTCTTTCTTTCTTTTCATTATAATAACCATTCTATCCAAAAGTCTTTGGTAATTCATGCTGACCTTCATATGTTATAGTCTTCTGTATCACTTGAATATCTTTCTTTCTTTCTTTCTTTCTTTCTTTCTTTCTTTCTTTCTTTCTTTCTTTTCATTATAATAATCATTCTATCCAAAAGTCTTTGGTAATTCATGCTAACCTTCATATGTTATAGTCTTCTGTATCACTTGAAATTTCTTTCTTTCTTTCTTTCTTTCTTTCTTTCTTTCTTTTCATTATAATAATCATTCTATCCAAAAGTCTTTGGTAATTCATGCTAACCTTCATATGTTATAGTCTTCTGTATCACTTGAATATCTTTCTTTCTTTCTTTCTTTCTTTCTTTCTTTCTTTCTTTCTTTCTTTTCATTATAATAATCATTCTGTCCAAAAGTCTTTGGTAATTCATGCTGACCTTCATATGTTATAGTCTTCTGTATCACTTGAATATCTTTCTTTCTTTCTTTCTTTCTTTCTTTCTTTCTTTCTTTCTTTTCATTATAATAATCATTCTATCCAAAAGTCTTTGGTAATTCATGCTAACCTTCATATGTTATAGTCTTCTGTATCACTTGAATATCTTTCTTTCTTTCTTTCTTTCTTTCTTTCTTTTTCTTTCTTTCTTTTCATTATAATAATCATTCTATCCAAAAGTCTTTGGTAATTCATGCTAACGTTCATATGTTATAGTGTTCTGTATCACTTGAATATCTTTTTCTTTCTTTTTCTTTCTTTCTTTCTTCTTTCTTTCTTTCTTTTCATTATAATAATCATTCTGTCCAAAAGTCTTTGGTAATTCATGCTAACCTTCATATGTTATAGTCTTCTGTATCACTTGAATATCTTTCTTTCTTTCTTTCTTTCTTTCTTTCTTTCTTTCTTTCTTTCTTTCTTTTCATTATAATAATCATTCTGTCCAAAAGTCTTTGGTAATTCATGCTAACCTTCATATGTTATAGTCTTCTGGATCACTTGAATCTTTTGGTAATTCATTTCATATGTTCTTTCTTTTCTTGAATTCTTTCTTTCTTTCTTTCTTTCTTTCTTTCTTTTTTCATTATAATAATCATTCTGTCCAAAAAGTCTTTGGTAATTCATGCTAACCTTCATATGTTATAGTCTTCTGTACTTGAATATCTTTTGAAATTTCTTTCTTTCTTTTCATTATAATAATCATTCTATCCAAAAGTCTTTGGTAATTCATGCTAACCTTCATATGTTATAGTCTTTTCACTTGAATATCTTTTCTTTCTTTCTTTTTTTTTTCTTTTCTTTCTTTTCATTATAATAATCATTCTGTCCAAAAGTCTTTGGTAATTCATGCTAACCTTCATATGTTATAGTCTTCTGTATCACTTGAATATCTTTTTTCTTTTCTTTCTTTTTTTCTTTCTTTCTTTCTTTCTTTTTTCATTATAATAATCATTCTGTCCAAAAGTCTTTGGTAATTCATGCTAACCTTCATATGTTATAGTCTTCTGTATCACTTGAATATCTTTCTTTCTTTCTTTCTTTCTTTCTTTCTTTCTTTCTTTCTTTTCATTATAATAATCATTCTGTCCAAAAGTCTTTGGTAATTCATGCTAACCTTCATATGTTATAGTCTTCTGTATCACTTGAATATCTTTCTTTTCTTTCTTTCTTTTCTTTCTTTCTTTTCATTATTAATCATTCTGTCCAAAAGTCTTTGGTAATTCATTCTAACCTTCATAAATAGTCTTCTGTATCACTTGAATATCTTTCTTTTCTTTCTTTCTTTCTTTCCTTTCTTTTCATTATAATAATCATTCTGTCCAAAAGTCTTTGGTAATTCATGCTAACCTTCATATATAGTGTATTCTTTCTTTCTTTTCATTATAATATTTTCTTTCATATGTTATAGTTTCTTTCTTGAATATCTTTTTTCTTTCTTTCTTTCTTTCTTTCTTTCTTTTCATTATAATAATCATTCTATCCAAAAGTCTTTGGTAATTCATGCTAACCTTCATATGTTATAGTCTTCTGTATCACTTGAATATCTTTCTTTCTTTCTTTCTTTCTTTCTTTCTTTCTTTCTTTCTTTCTTTTCATTATAATAATCATTCTGTCCAAAAGTCTTTGGTAATTCATGCTGACCTTCATATGTTATAGTCTTCTGTATCACTTGAATATCTTTCTTTCTTTCTTTCTATCTTTCTTTTCTTTCTTTTCTTTTCATTATAATAATTCTTTTCATTATAATAATCATTCTTTCTTTTCAAAATAATCATTTGTCCAAAATTCTTTGGTAACCTTCATATGTTATAGTCTTCTGTATCACTTGAATATCTTTCTTTCTTTCTTTCTTTCTTTCTTTCTTTCTTTCTTTCTTTTCATTATAATAATCATTCTATCTTTCTTTGGTAATTTCTTTCTTCATATGTTATAGTCTTCTGTATCACTTGAATATCTTTTTCTTTTCTTTCTTTTCTTTCTTTTCTTTCTTCTTTCTGTTGTGTATGATACACCTAATTTACATAAGCGGACTACCGACCATATAAATATGGGTTGGTAGCGGAAGACGGGGAAGATAGTAGAGATTAAGAAATTGAATCGAGAGACTCTGCCCGACTGCGATTTAGTCAACCCATTATGCAGGAACAGTCTTCCCAAGAATATACCAAACTAACTGTAAATATTGTGTACCTATTCTTTGTTTCAATACATTTTGTTAACGTACATTTTGTGTTGTATTATTCCATGCTTATTTAAGCTTCAACACTTTCTTTCTTTCTTTTCATTATAATAATCATTCTGTCCAAAAGTCTTTGGTAATTCATGCTGACCTTCATATGTTATAGTCTTCTGTATCACTTGAATATCTTTCTTTTTCTTTCTTTCTTTCTTTTCTTTCTTTCTTTCTTTCTTTCTTTTTTCATTATAATAATCATTCTGTCCAAAAGTCTTTGGTAATTCATGCTAACCTTCATATGTTATAGTCTTCTGTATCACTTGAATATCTTTCTTTCTTTCTTTCTTTCTTTCTTTCTTTCTTTCTTTCTTTTCATTATAATAATCATTCTATCCAAAAGTCTTTGGTAATTCATGCTAACCTTCATATGTTATAGTCTTCTGTATCACTTGAATATCTTTCTTTCTTTCTTTCTTTCTTTCTTTCTTTCTTTCTTTCTTTCTTTCTTTCTTTTCATTATAATAATCATTCTATCCAAAAGTCTTTGGTAATTCATGCTAACCTTCATATGTTATAGTCTTCTGTATCACTTGAATATCTTTCTTTCTTTCTTTCTTTCTTTCTTTCTTTCTTTCTTTCTTTCTTTTCATTATAATAATCATTCTGTCCAAAAGTCTTTGGTAATTCATGCTAACCTTCATATGTTATAGTCTTCTGTATCACTTGAATATCTTTCTTTCTTTCTTTCTTTCTTTCTTTCTTTCTTTTCATTATAATAATCATTCTATCCAAAAGTCTTTGGTAATTCATGCTAACCTTCATATGTTATAGTCTTCTGTATCACTTGAATATCTTTCTTTCTTTCTTTCTTTCTTTCTTTCTTTCTTTCTTTCTTTCTTTTCATTATAATAATCATTCTATCCAAAAGTCTTTGGTAATTCATGCTGACCTTCATATGTTATAGTCTTCTGTATCACTTGAATATCTTTCTTTCTTTCTTTCTTTCTTTCTTTCTTTCTTTCTTTCTTTTTTCTTTCTTTCTTTTCATTATAATAATCATTCTGTCCAAAAGTCTTTGGTAATTCATGCTAACCTTCATATGTTATAGTCTTCTGTATCAACTGAATGTATTTATTTATTTATTTCATTATAAAAGGCTATGATAATTCATGCTATTCCTGTATTAATTATAATTTTCTTCATTTAACCCAGTCATGTCTCATTTTGTGGTGCTGATCATTGAAGATTTAATAAAGTATTTTCTATTAAATTTTTTATTCTTTCCTCTCCTTATAAATAATGCTATATTTTTGAATAAGTATTTCTAGACAATGGAAAATATTTAATATCAAATAAAAATTAATATTAGTAAGAAACCGACATTCTAAATATCAATCCTGATTTTCGGTCTCTTCACCCTCTCACCTTATGATAAATATAACCGAAAGGCCAAAGACCTTTTAGTTTTTAATTGATACTAAAATATACTTAAACATTATAGAAGTTCGATACCTGAACCAATGTAGGGAGTCTTGAGGCAATGATTAAAACGTTAATATCACAAATTATTATTACTGTGGTTAGGTTTTTTATCTAACTTTTGGCTTTATGCCGGGCTAAGGTAATTTTATTGAATATATATTAACAATTTTTAATGGCATAATAAATGCTTTAATGGCATAATAAATGTTAAAACAAATGGAATACTAAATATGAATAATGAATGCTAGAACAAATGTTTTAATGGCATTATAAATGTTTTAATTGCATAAAAAATGTTAAAACAACAGTTCCAATGGCATGATAAATGTTAAACTAACCTTCAAGACTATAATTCAAAATTACTAGATTGGTTGCCACCAAAAAAAAAAAAAAAAAAAACTAGAGGACTTGGTCTACCCTGCTATTTAAAGAGAATAAGAAGGGGGGATTTTTTTTATTGAAAAGAAAAGTGCAAAGTGAACTCGACACATTAACCCGGTTTGACAGTTTCAATTTCCGTGTTGTTGCTACATGTGCAATAGTCTGATGATATTATTCACTATATATTAGCAAGGTGTTTACGATGGATTAACAAAAATATCAGTCATCCAAAAAATTTATACGATGTTTAGACAAACATTAAAGCTAGTTATTGAATGACAACAGATTTAATAGTAGAATCACAGAAAGTTTACTAAAATGAAGAGAAAGTTTCAAGATTTCAAATCTAATTCTCATTATAATATCCTTCACTCCCAATCGTTGTATAAAGGTCGGTCAAATGTAAGTATTGTTATTTTTTAATGCTAATAGATTTAATAGTTGAAGGATATATTGTGTACGAAAATGACCAAAAAAAGTTACAGGATTTCAAATCTAGTTCTCAATATAATACCCTTCACTCCCAATCGTTGTATAAAGGTCGGTCAAATATAATGACTGTTATTTTTTAATGCTAATAGATTTAATAGTTGACGGATATGTTGTGTACGAAAATGTCCAAAAAAAGTTACAGGATTTCAAATCTAGTTCTCAATATAATACCTTCTCCCAATCGTTGTATAAAGGTCGGTCAAATATGTTGTTATAATAGATTTAATAGTTGAAGGATATATTGTGTACGAAAATGACCAAAAAATACAGGATTTCAAATCTAGTTCTCAATATAATACCCTTCACTCCCAATCGTTGTATAAAGGTCGGTCAAATATAATGACTGTTATTTTGTAATGCTAATAGATTTAATAGTTGAAGGATATATTGTGTACGAAAATGATCAAAAAAGTTACAGGATTTCAAATCTAGTTAATTTTTTTGCGGACGCGTTTACAATAATTACAAGCAGATACAAAAAGATATCTGTTGGTGCAGCCGAGAAAAGTGATTCCTGTGGACTATATATTAGAAATGTTTGAATTTCCTCATTAATATTGGGGAATCAATGTCCTCTTTTCTTAGCCTTGTGTATCGACAGAAGTTCTTATGTGGCAAACATCTCATTCTCCTTCATAGGGGTCTCTTAAAATTGTGAGAACCCACTTAACACATAATTTTGAATAGCAAGGAGGCTGTACTAAATTATAGGCACTTCCATCACTCAGAAAAATGAGTGATGGCGAACAACTGGCGCTTTATAGCCAGCTGCCTTGCGTAGATAGAGTTCGACAGCCCAGGAAGGCAGTCTATCTAGAGGAAGGGAAACCAAGGAAAAGGCTATGGAAGAATCCAGACAGAAAACTCGGAGTGGGGCTGCGAAGGCAGTTGGTTGCCAA